CTTACCAAACAGGATCTCCTTCTCCAGGGACTGCTCCCTCCTGACAATATGTCCGAAGTATGAGAGACGAAGTCTAGCTATCCTGGCTTCCAAGAAGCACTCTGGCTGCACTTCTTCCAACACAGATCTGTTGGTTCTTTTGACAGCCGATGGCACTCCAACACCCTAACTCAAAAGCATCAATTCTTCTATGGTCTTCCTTATTCACTGTCCAGCTTTCGCATGCATATGAGGTTATTGAAAATACCACGGCTTGGGTCAGGCGCATCTTAGTCCTCACTGGTCTAGTACTGAGGATTTTCGTTTACTTTATGTTGACATGTAATACATACTGAAGGCTGTAATCTAATAATTCAACAATAAATGCTTGAAGTTCTCCTCGCTTTCAGCAAGCAAGTTTTAACATCTGTATCTTACAGGTTGTTAATGAGTCTTCCTCCAGTCCCAATGGCACATTCTTCTGTATATTATCCAACTTCTCAGTGTACAGACTGAGTAAGCACATGAAAGGATACAACCCAGATGCAGAGAAGAACTGAGTCTAAGCCACACAGCATCCCTTGTTCTGTTCAGATGCCACAGGCCTTCCGGTCTATGTGTAGACTCCTCATAAACATGGTCATGTGTTCCGGTATTCCCACGCACCACGCCAAAACACCAAACCAGCTGCACTCGAGTCAAGTGTGACCCACAGAGATCCCACTCATGGGGTTGTCAGGAGTCATGAAAGGCGCTCGCCTGCCCTTTTCCTTCCCTATTGTGCCCACATTGGATTTGGTAATGAGGTATGCTGGCCTCATGATTCGAACAGCTAAAAAAGCGTTCTCTCATCTTCTATTTTCAGGGTTAAAAATTAGTATAAATTCTTTCTTCAAAGTCTGGAGTTCACTAGGGGAGCAATCTGGGCATGGCATTTGCGGGGAGGGGTTTACACGACAAACTACACTTCTGTAGCAGATCTGCAGCTAGGTCAGCTGATTAGGGTGTTTTCACATGAATGTTCATGTTGTTGTTCACTGCTGACCCATAGCGACCCAGTACAGGTTTTCCGAGGAGCAGCTGGTGGATTTGAACTGCTGACCTTGTGGTTCACAGTCCAGTGCTGATCCACAGCGCCACAGCTCAAGCATCTTTATTTAGCCAAATGCAGAGGACGACCCAAACATCCACCAACAGGTGACAGGAAAACCAATTGTGATGCAGATACACAGAAGAACAGCACTTGGCACGGGAAAGGACTAAGGTGCTGACAGCTTCAACGCCAGGCAGTGAGGTGACTCTACAGGACAAGCATGGGACTGCTTGCTACAAGGTTTGCAGTTTGAGCCCACCAGCTGCTACACTGGAAAAAAGAAGACGTTTCTGCTCCCACCAAGATTTACAGCCTTGGAACTGCTATACAGGGGCACTATGATCTGCAACAACATGGATGAATCTCATAAATAACGCTGCTGAGTGAAATAGGTCAAGTCCACCCCCCTCACCCCCCAAAAAACCCAAAAGCAAACTGTATGACCATATTTATATAAAATCCTACAAAACACAAACTAATCTATGTCAGCAGACCACTGGCTGGCATGGAGGGTGGGGACGAGGCCTTTGGGGCATGATGGGTAGTTTTATCACCTTGCATTTGGTGCCAGATTTCTTCTGGGTCAGTTTTGATACACTGATACAATTGATACAAATTTGATACATTGCCCCTAACATGGGCGCTGTCCATGATCAGCACCGGACTGTGAACCTCAATGTCGGCAGTTCAGACCCACCAGCTTCTCCATGGAAACCCTAGACAGGGTTGCTGTAAGTCAGAACCAACTCAATGGCAGTTAACAACAACAACAACAACGCCCTCACTACTTTCCTTTGTCATTTCTAATACTGGGCGCTTGTGGCCTCGCTCTCTCATTTTTGACCAGATCTGCCAAGGGTTTGTTCATTTCATTAATGTCTGAAATCTACAGAGTTCAAAAAGCATCGTTTCTGGCTTTGTTGATTTTTCCTACAATAGGATTGCTTTTAATTTAATTGAGTTCTGCTCTTCCCTTTGATTATTTCTCACCCCTACTGGGTTTGATTTGCTGTTCTCCCTCTAACTTCATGAGCTGTGACTTGGAGTTGGTAGTGGTTAGGTGCCGTTGAGTTGGCCTGCACCATCCTCTCAGGCGACACTGTGTGTGGGTCCAGTGAGTTTAGATCACTGATTCTTTATTTACAATGTGCCTTTAAAGTTCCATATGCCTCTAAAGCCAGCTTTAAATGCATCCCACACGTTTTGACATGTTCTTTTCATTATCATTCAGTTAACAATGTTCTAGTCCAACTTTGTGCTTTTGGAGGGACTGGAGGGGGAGAGACACATGAGTTAAGAGTTATCAGTGTGTTTCTTAATTATCAAAACACCGGGAGATTTCTGACGTGCTTTTCTGCTACTGATTTCCACTGTGTTTCTATTTTTCCCAATGCTATGAGACTTGTCTTACGAATCGGCATATGGTGGGGGATCTCGGTCAATGTTCCCTGTGCACTTACATAGAATGCGGCTTCTCCAGTTGCTCACTGTAATGTATGAACCCAGCTCAAGCTAAATGTAAAAGTTCTGTGTCTATATGGACCTTCTGTGTACTGGTATCGTTGTTGTTGTTGCTAAGTGCCGTTGAGACGATTCTGACCCATAACGACCCTGTTTAGGGTTTCCAAGGAGCATCTGGTGAGCTTGAACTACCAATCTTGCAGTTCAAATGACTTTGCAGTCTGATGCATTAGCCCACAGAGCCGCATCAGGACTCCCTCAGCCAATGAGAAACCCACCATGTGTAGAGATTTGTCAGTGTCACCTTTAAGTTCGGTCAATTTTTACCTTCTATTTTTAAGTGGATAGAAGGTAAAAACTGACCGAACTTATTTTAAGTGGGGGGCCAGGCCTGGTAGCGTAGTGGTTACGAATCGGGCTGCAAACCTTAAGGTTAGAAACTACCAGCCGCTCCGTGGGAGAAAGATGAGGCTTTCTACTCCCGTAAAGATTTACACCCTCGGAAACCCTGTACAGGGTCGCTATGGGTCGGAACCGACTTGACGGCACTTAACAACAACAACAACATTTTTAAGTGGTGGTATCAGGCTGGACTGCAAACCACAAAGTCTAAAGTTTGAACCCACGAGCCGCTCTGCAGGGGAAAGATAAGGCTTTTTGCTCCCTCGAACATCTAAAGCCTCGAAAACCCTACATAGGGTTGTTATGAGTAGGAACCGACTCCAAGGCACTTAATAACACCACCAACAATTAGGGTTTTAGGATGAGCACTAGACTGCTAACCACAAGGTCAGTGGTTCAAACCTACCAGCAGCATCTCAGGACAAAGATGAAGCAAGGTGCTTACTGCAATAAAGATTTACAGTCTGAGAACACTCCCACACTGGGCAGCTGGGCACCAGAGCTGACTCAAGGATAGCGGGCTTGGCTTTTGGTTTATTAGATGCTCAAGGAGCCCTCGTGGCGCAGTACTTGGCTGCAAACCAAATGGTCGGCAGTTCAAACCCACCAATCACTCCACAGGAGAAGATCTGTCTGTCTGCTTCAGTAAAGATGATGACAGCCTCAGAAACCCTATGGGGCAGTTTTACTATATTGTGTGGGGTTCCCAGCAGTCAGAACTGACTCTCTAACAGTGGTTTTGGTGAATATTGTTGTTGTTAAGTGCCATCAAGTTGGTTTCAGAGCAGAGCAACCCCTTATAGGGTTTCTGAGGCTGTAAATCTTTGCAGGAGCAGAAAGCCTCATTCTTCTCCTGTGGAGTGGCTGGTGGGCTTGAACCACTGACCATGTGGTTTGCAGACCGGTGTTAAACATACAGAGCCATGGCGCTCCCCTGGCGGGTATTCGGTGCTCAGAGGCAGGACTGCTACATCTTCCTGTTGAAGCTTTGCAGCAGCACGGTAGCAGACCTGTTAGTGTCTGCAAGATCTGCCGTTTCCCATCACGGAACTTTCAGCATTGATGGGACAGTCCTGGTGTGGCGCTGGAGTTTAAGCACCAGACTGCTGACCAAAGGGTTAGCGATTCAAACCCAGCAGCCACTCCTTGGAAACCTTCTATAGTAGAGTCGCTATGAGTCAGAACCAACTCAACAGCACTTAACAAGACATTATCACTGAACTGCTGCCAACCACGGAGTCCTGGTGTGGTGCTGTAGGATAAGCTCTGGACTACAAACTCAGCTTGAACAGCAAGGTCGGCAGTTCAAACTCACCTCGAAAACCCTTACACAGGGTCGCTATGAGACGGAGCATTGTTTCTTATGTTATTGTTGTTAAAGTGCTGTCGAGTCGATTCCGACTCATAGCGACCCTGTACAGGGTCTCCATGAATGGCTGAAAACTATCACAGTTGGGAGCAGCTGACACTTGCCAATTACTGTCAGTCTGGCATCTTCATCTCAACTGGGAAGTGAATGAGCTCTCCCACACTGGGGTCAAGTTCTGCACTGTTCAGCATTTAACGTAATACATTTTAACAAGTTAATGTACCTGGAAATGCACAGTAGACTAAAAAAAGTGTATTGCAAGAGTTGAGGGTTAGTCCTGGGTTGTTTCTTAATTATATATTTGTGTCTCAAACCAGCTTGGGAGCTTTGTGGCCGTACCCTATTCACCTCCAGTCACAATGTCCAGCACAGCGCTCTGTGAAAACGCACCAAACGTCTAAGTGTTCCGTCAGGTTATAGTGTGTTCAATGCCTAAAAGCTAATTCTAAAAAGAGACACTGCCCATTCCAAAGTCACCCATGCCAAACATGGGATTCTGCCACAGCCCAATCTTAGAACCAAGAGAGACCTTGGTTGTAGATGAAAAGATCCATCACGTAAGACGACAGTTGAAGCCTCCGCTCCATTTACACATCCCACCCGGTTATCTGTGTGGTTAGCAGTTTGGGATATTTATGCACCCTACCTCCCCGCCTGGCCCCTACCCAATGGCCATGCACCGGGACACCAACGTACTTGGCAAACTTCACAGTCGTTGCATTCCGTGGCACGAAACCAGTGTGGAACTGGATCTGGAACATCTTCATGGACGCCATCTGCAGAGAGAAAGCGAACAGGAGGTTCCTTGTGCTGCTGAGCGGGAGAACACACCCCGATTTCACACTGAATTCCCTGCCCACAAGGATAGCTGAAGTCAAGTGGTTGCAGGGGAGTAGTTCACGTTTAGTTCCCATGGACAGACAGGACCCTGGGCCATGCTATGTGTGTCGGGGGGGTGGGGTGGGATGGGATAAGTGGGATAAGCAGAGAGGAGGGGTGGAGTAGGGAGGAGAGGAGCGGCCAGCAGCAGATGAAGACACTGAACAGATGCGGGTATCGTCCCTACGAGGGGCAGCGCGGGTCCCTGTAACCGACCCCCCCAGGATGCTTTACAGAGGTTTATACTGACGCCGACCCAGGCAGAAGGCCAGTGGATACTTAAGGACAACGTGGTCCTCTAATGTCTAGGGCGACACTGGAAAGACCCAACTTTCCAGGCTAAAACCCCTCTGCCTTACACTTTGTGCAGGTTGGTAGGGATTCCAAGGTGCATTTATCTGAGGGAAGCATCAAAGCTCTTGCTGGACAGCTCGCTTCACTCAAAGATCCACTGAGAATTGCTAGGCCATGATGCTCAGCGCAATACTCTGTGAGTTGACGGAATTAGACCACGTGTTGTAAATTTGCTCTGGTAAAATTGTTGTTGTTGTCAGGTGCCATTGAGTCAGAAACGACTCATAGCGACCACATGCACAGCAGAACAAAACAATGTCCGATCCTGGGCCAACCACACCACCGCTGCCACACTTGATGCCATCAATGATGCCACCTGGCTGATCCATCTCGTTGGGGGTCTTCCTCTTTTTCTCTGACCCTCCACCTTACC